GATCGTAGGCTCTACAGTCACTATTCCCTAAGGAAAGCTTCCCCCCTCTTGTGGATTTTACCCAACACATCAATGAGTCTAGCCAAAATACAAGGATCAGCTACACCGGTGAAGTATAGAGATTCCTGCACTTCTTCGTCCTTCGGAGGTCCCCTCAAAGCATAACCAAGCTGTATAACAGCAAGAGAAGGATTGTAGTTGATTCCCCCTTTTATCCCCATCAAAGGCACATTAGGGAAACTACCACAGCTAAAGATGAGCTCATGACCAAGCAGATATCGGTTGAACCAGGCGATATCCTTTTCTGTTAAACCCATGAGTCTTTTGGACCATTCGGCTGAATTTCTTGAATCCACAAAAGCTCCAGAGCGAGTAAGATGATTGATAAACCACTTGTGGAGAAGCGGGGCACAACAAGAAACCATCTTTACTCTTCTCTTCTCATTCTTGTAGTGTACTGAATGATACAAATCTCCTAGGAGGACAGGCACAGGGTTCCTGGAAGTGAAGATATGAAAGGCATCAAAATCAACAAAGTTCGCTATGTTAGGAAACAGTACAATGCGATAGACATACAGAGCCAAGATAGCACTAAAAACCACCCAACGACCCTCTTCAGCATACATCTGGACTTTATCCACCAAGAAAGATAAAGTAAAGCCAGAAACTCCATTCCTGCTGACAACGTGATCACCCAACTCAGAGGCGCTCAAATAAAGAGCGACTGTCAACTTCTCAAGATCGGGTTCTTCCTCTGAATAAAAGAAAGGTGCTTCATCTTGGACCGGAACGCCTAAGATGAAAGAGAACTCCTCCAAAGTTAGAACCAACACATAACCCGACAAATTGAAACATCACAACAGTGGATCATAAAACTGCAACAGGGTATGAATAGCTCCACGATCATAACTCATGATCTTATGGACAAGATTCAGAATTCTCCCGTAATCTTTCCTGAAGGTTTCAAGGACGTCAGGATTAGCCATGGGAATCAGGCCAAATAAAGGTCCTAACTCAAGTGTCGAAAACTTGTATACAACGATCCTCTTTCTATCCATTTCCATCTCTACAGAAGATCAGTACCGGAATCAAAGGAGAGACGAGAACCTGTAAAATAATCAGACATCCAATGTTAATGCAGGATGATTATGCATATGCAAACATGGGATCAAGGTATCCAATGCTCAAACTTGCTGCTGCGCTGTTGACTGAATCAGAACTCCACTCTAATAAGAAATCCAGAAAACCAGGACATTGAGACAGTAGAAAATCGGCGTACTCAGCATCAAAAGTTCACTCGGACAAGAAAACCAAAAACCGGGTTGGTTGAAAGTCAAGGTTTCTTGCAAAACCCCTCCCCTCTCGCATGTGGGTTCTAGTCTTGTACGGTACGACATTCTATGCAGGTCATCAGTATCACAAACTCTCAGTTTGAGAGACGATGATACGTTCGCCATTTATGGTTTGGCATCATGGCCAATCAAGGAGGTCTCAACTGACTTCCCAATGAACGGCCTCCAGAGTCGTTAGTTTTTCTAAGTCAATACTCCTTCAACTGCACCAGATGCGCATGATAGAGTATCTCCAAAGAAAAACCTCGTCTGGACGTGAATTTCTCACGAGATATTGCATGGTCAGACGTAACACAAGCTCCCGCTACTCTCCATACTAATCCTATGTGTATACTCAAGCTTGGATACTGGGCTTATCTCTCATAGAACCACCCACCCAACAATACAACAGCAGCAACATAATATGATGACAAAATGCAAATGCAATAATATACAACAGTATAATGTACATAAAGCAAATAGCTGCACAAAAGTAAACACCCAAAGAAACAGAAACAAACAAGCGCTAGGATTGACTCGCATAAGGAACCAGAGTCGCCAACTGTCGCAACTGTGAAAAACACCCGGCGGAAAAACAGAAGAGTCGCCACCAAACGTTATTTGTCCTAAAGAGAGGAAAAGGAAACGATCGAAGAAAACCAGAAGAACAAGAAAAGACAAGGTCATCGCAACCGAATCTTGGATTCGAGAGACGGTTACGCGAGGGGAAGGTATTAGCACCCCATACGTCCGTTGTACTCAATGGGATCCGCGCTTGTTGTCTAATCAAGGGGTGTGTCATCTAAAAGCTACTGCTAAACGGAAACGAGAATAAAAGAAAAAGAAAGAGACTCTATAGGACATCACCGCCCTATGCCTACGTATTCCCTCGTGCAATGGGAAAGTCAGAGTTAACGTAGTTTGGAAAACTACGGGTGATGAGGGAAGGTTGCTCGCCAAGACATCGTCGTCTTGTGCCTACCTATCCTCATCTGGTATGAGAAATCAGAGAAAACATAGTTCAGAATACGAAACCACAGGTTGGTTAAGTGTTTTTTACGAGTGACATTAAGTTCTCATTCCAGCAGTTAGGGTCGATGTCTGTTTGTGATAGAACGGAAAAGTAACGTACTCTTTTCTGAAAATGAGTTTGAAACACAAATCCCAAAGGATAAAAGGTTTGACTTTTGTTTGTGAGTTTTAGTGAAGTGATTTGAATTTGTTTGGGATGCACGTTGTACTAAAGACTATGACATAGGAACGAATGCGTCGTGTAACAACCCAATTTTTCAATAAGTGATTAATTGTGTTAATTAATTGGTTTATGTGATTTATCTGATTTAAATAAATTATTGGATTTATTTAAACTAGCGTCCAGACGGGCACGCGAGTACCCGTCTGTCCGCTTTTTTATTGCATACAAATAAGAGCATTTTTAGTGGGAGTAAACTAAATGGGTAAACTAAGATACTTTTTGTGGGGCCAAAGTGATTTGTAGGATTTAAAAAATTTATAGTTGATTTGAGTAGTTTTTACTTTAATGGTGGTTGTCTATAAGAAACCAAAACTTGACCCCACATTTTATATTTTTTATTCAAGTTACCATTAATTTAATTATTTTAATTAAAATACATATAATTTTTTAAATAAAATTTACCTTAAAAACTTAAAAATAATATTAAATATATTTTATTATAAAATTAAAAATGATACAAAATTCACAACAATAATACATAAAAAAAATTATATTTTCATAGGAATATAATTATAATAAAGATTCGATTGGTTGGGATCCATTTGATAAATAAATAAGATTGGAAATTGAAAGAAAAAAATTTAGAAGTAAAACTGTGTGTAAAAAAAATTAAAATTTCTATAGAATTTATAGAAGGTAAAAAATGATAATATGACCGTTACTATTTTCAAATATCATACCCTTACTTTAATGTTGTTGGAATATTTGGAATATTTTATTAATATTGGAATATTTGGAATATTTTATTAATATTAAATAATATTATAATAGGTTTCATATGAATAGTTAACGTTAACTATATAGATAATGGGAACTAAATTTTAGTTCATTTGGATGTCAGGTCAGCTCTCCTATAATACAAATTACTTATTACTAACGTAAGCTATAAAGAATTTTGGTTTAACAACCCTGCGTTAAAGTTGCTCTAAATATAAATGATATATTTTTATTTAATATTAATTTTACATGGAAGTTATGTGGGAAGTTATTAGTAGAGAGTTATATGAAAGATGATAGTAGTAGTTCAATGGAAGTTATTGTGTAAGTTATATATTTTAAAATAAGGGTAAATTTGGTATAAAAAAAAGCTACACCAAAAACTAAGTATTGCCTTTATATATGTTATAGATTATATGAGTTAATGGATTTAATTGATTTATTCTACTTGGTAGAATAATGTGAATTTATTAGATATTTTCTAATTAATGATGAGATGAGATATTTTATGAGAAAATGAATTGGTAGATATATAAGAAAAAGTGGAAGGAAAAGAGAAAGATAAAAACATAAGAGAAAGAATAGAGAAATAAGGAGAAAGAGGAGAAAAGAGAAGGAGAAGAAGGAAAACATGGAAAATCTCAAGAACAACTTCTAGCTCTAATTCAATCAAGATAAGGGTGTGAAATATCATTATACTATCAATGTTTATGATTATGTATGAGTTTGTTGGATTGGTTTGGATTGTTGGAGAGTTTTTACTCATATTCCATTTTAGGGCAAAAATGAGTTTAATCGATAGAATCGAGTTTTGAACGGTTAGAATCGAAAATAAATTGCGTAGTTTAGTCAGGTAATGCTTAGTCGTGATTATTGGATCACTACAAGGAAATTGGCAAATTGCGACGGTTCATTTTGACATATTACGACGGTTTTAACCGTCGCAATTTGTAAGTTACGAGGTTTCAACCCCGTCGTGGAAACGTGCGTCGCGAGGCCGTATTGCGACAGTTGTGAAAGCTATCGTACAAACCGTCGTTATTTTCACGACGGGTAGCTAATTGTCATAATCTCCATATTGTGATGGTTTCAACCGTCGTAATTATATTTACTAATTCTAAATATTATTTATGCTAGTTGCGACGGTTTAAACCGTCGTAATTTTATCTATAGAATTTTTTTTATAATATTCTATTTTTATTTAAATTACTTTCAGCTCATTTTTCTTATAATAGTTTTTTTAATGTAAACTATTATTGTTTTTTGGTAATATATCAAATATATAAAGACTCACGTATATCAAATATATAAAGACTCACATATAACAAACATATAAATTTATATAACTTAAAAAACAATTGATATTTCATTATATCACTTTTCTAAATAACTTATCATATTTTCTACTAAATATATACTTATGAATATCTAAATGATCAAATGTCATAATCTATAACTTGATATATACAATATAATTAATATAATTGTACAACCTATGATGATCCAAAATATTCTGCCCAATTTTCCACACCAAGTGATGATCCAAGATATTCTACAGATGGCTGAAGAATTCTTTGGTATGATTTTGCCTTAGAGGATAGACATAAACATCTACAAAAGCATAAACATTACTTCCAGTTAGCACCAATAAAGAAAATCACTTGTGATCTTCTAGTATCATCATGAGCCCTTCATAATCAGTTTTGTAGTCTTCTAGTTGTTGCTAATCTTTTGGCTTCACCAACACGCTCTTCCAAAAGCAAAACTTTCTCAGGTTGTGTAGGGTATTCTGGTAGCTTTTTGTCTGAAAAAAACTTGTATTTGTTAAGAATAAGAATAAGAATGTTTTACTCCTTCAAATGTCACAGCAAAGACTAAGAATATGCTCCCCACCGATAAGCTTATCTATCTGAAGGAACCATTCCATTTCATATTGGTTCACAAGGGAAATCGCAACCCCAGAGCGCCCTGCACGAGCAGTCCTTCCAACACGATGAATGTAATCCTATAGTAACAAAGTCAGGACTTATCCAGTGAAAACAGAAATTACGTTTCCTTGTTCTCAGTTAATTTAGATACATCATCCTAAAATAGTCGTGAAATTATAAATTCCTATTATTACTAATAAATTACTGTGTACTTTAGATTAATTATTATTGTGTTAAACATGTCAAAAAAAGTACTACAGTCTACAAGGTGCATATTACTTTGGAGTTTGAGGGAATATCATAGTTAATCACCATATCCACTGCTGGAATATTGAATCCCCTGCTAGCTGTGTCAGTACAAAAGAAGAATATTGAAATCCCCAAACTTGAACTTAAGGCTCCAAGTCTCTTGAGCTGTCAAAAGATATTAGGTACAAATTATAAGGTAAGTTTAGAACAAATTAGAATTATAATGTTGGATATCAGGTACAATTACCTGACTCATATAACCATTAATTGGGATGGCTTTCAAACCAAGATTTCTAAGAATCAAAGTAAGAAGTCAAGTTGCGTCACATGTCTGAGTGAACACCATTGATGTACTTCCGGCCATTTCAGTGAGAATATACACAAGGTAGCAATCCTAGGAAAGAAGCAAGAAATTGATTAACAGTCGTCAAAAGCGTAAAAGATAATAGCGATGATTCATGAAACCTAAAAATGAATGCAATTTTGTTAGTTTAAATCCAAATAGGCAATCTGTAAAAAATAATGACATTTTCTTTGTAACATGAGGGCTTTCTTGTCTGCATCTAACACCATAACTCAATATTACTTTGTGTTAGAAATTACTTCTACTTAGCTAATTATATTGTATTTGTCTATCTAACCTTGACTTGACTGTGTCACCCATCAAAAACAATGAAAAGCATCAAATATTTTCGAAAGGGAACTAATGTCAGCTTATGACATTCTTACTTAAATAGCATTCAGCACACAAATAATGAACTAGATGCTCTCTCGTATACTTTTTAAGTTCCGTTCTGATCTAAATCTAATATACTTTTAATATATAATGGAAATTCTGCCATCAATGTGGTTCAACTCTAGTTGCCTAATTGCAACATTTGGACTACCTTCATTGCAACCTACAACGCTTTCATTGTGTTGGAAGTGAACCATGAAAGGGTGGGTCCAAAATTGGCCAATAGCTATCTATTCTGCAATACAAAGTCAGTACTTTCCTCTCTGTTCTATGAAACTCTCCTATTACACAACTTATTTCTTGTTGATAAATTTGTTCAGATATTCTGCACTTACTGGAAAAAGTTGCAGGACGACTCATGTAAAGAACACTCTTCCCAAGAGAGAAGCTATCTCAATCCTAATTGGTGTCTCAAATTTTGGCATCTCCTTTACAAACTCAAATATCATTTTGGTATCATGCCCACACAGAAATTGCAGGTATGCATTTAATAACTGCATGCATAGTGATGTCGGTTGTTATTGTTGTTATTTATACAAAAGACATTTAGGATAGAAACAGCAAGGAAGACACAACTATTAAAAAAAGTTTTAGATATATACCAAATTTACCGATAGAGGAATTCACAACAATGCAGTAGGACCAAAATTAGTGACATCCTTGTAGGTTGACTTGTACCATACAGTAACATTGAATCCATTCCCGTTCGGATTTAGAAAACCAAAAGTTGTTACATGTCAAAACAATAGACATGAGTATAATCTTCCATATATTATGTAGGCTGAAACATAAATGATAAAAGTACCTGAAAATATTGTATTGATCTGTTGTGGGAAACTTCTTTCATGAACTTCATATAACTCATTGTTGAATTCAAAGATAAGTACGAGAATGCGTGAAAGATATTGTCAACCATGCCTGATAATGTCACAGTGTAGTCATTACTGTTTTGCTCACAGTCAATTAAGAGCATTATAGCCAGTACTAGAAAGCAACCATGGCCCACTCAAACCAGATATAATGGCAGGGAGATGTAACTTTATATGCTATTAAAATGCAGTAGTGACTACAAGCCACTGAGAGTGCATGATCACCCAAAAAATGCATAAGAAAAATGTGATTATGACATCATAAAATAGAGGACCAAATGATTAAAACAACCCATGGTTAACAATATCTAGTGATACAAGAGTCATATCTCGAATTAAAAGAAAAAGTGAATCTAATCAATACAAATTATCATGGACACATTTATAGCATGAATATTAATTAATTCTGATGGATCACAACTCTCTCAACTTTCAGGTTTGCATATAATCATAACAGTCATCTATCTAGAGTTCTTCTTATATCACTTATTTTCTAATGAACCACCACTCAAGCATCCATGTAATAGACCCAAAAGTGTAGAATTCGTGAGTTACAATGGCGGCCAAGACCTTTTAATGCAGATAATGGCACACAAACTCTTTTTTTTACTTTATTAGACAGTTAATAGAAGAAAATGTAAGCAATTTTCATGTATGAATGCACTTAAATTGACAGTAGGTAAATCAACAATAGGTAATCTTTTAATATTATACATAAAACTGATCTTCTGTTACCTCGTAGCTTTTCTTGAATAATTCTTCAATAGTTTGAGCAGTACCTCAGCTATAAGAGTATCATTAAATTGAAAAGTAATACTTGGCCTGACTTTTTTAGAAGATTTCCATCCTAAGTTTGACAGATTCTATTATGTACTGCACTTGAAAGCGACATTAGCCAACTTCTAATTTGCTACACCCAGGAAATCAAAGTTGGTAAAAAAAGCAGAAGTCAGAGAAGCACCTCATAATTGCAAACGAGGTCACAACTTCATCTTTGTCAATTCTCCAAACCTGCTTAAGGAGATCATGTTCTGCGGAAGACCTCCCGGGAATTCTCAAAAGCTTGGAAAAGGAAACCTAAGAATTTTAAAAAGTGATAACAAAAAATGATCAACTCTGAAAGACAAATTGCGGAACCAAGGATCATGCCACCCTGTCTTTGGCTACGTGTGCTTGTCGATGAGATATAGGAAGGAAAAGACCAAATAATAAGAAAAGGAATAAACATAATACTCACAAATATATGATTCTTGCTAGTATCTAAAATCACCCCTCGTTCAATAGTTTGATGGCTTGACTTGTTACTCAATATCTAAAAAGTAAATAAACATAAGTTTCTAATTAAAAAAATTAATTCACTCTGTACTACTTGTTCACAGAATTATTTGACAACAGTCAGTTAAAATTTGTATTTGAGTGTATTGTAAAAGGAAGGATTCTTTGCAAGTATTGAACATAATGCTGGTTCAGATCTTTACATTAATATTTAAAAGACTATAGTACAGTCTGGAGGTCTAATACCCTGCACATATTAATCATACAAGAACAGACTTAGTTCTCAACTTTCCCGACATTTTGGATAATAATTGTTAATAAGCCAGTCATCCACAACTTGTTAACAATATACCTAAACCCACTTCCACCAGGGGCTTCAATGAAAGTATCATAAACCAAGCATTATTAATATACAAAAACATAAACCTATATGAATAGTTATGTTTCAATCAGTAAGCATATATAAATAGTTATTTGTAAATCATAAACCAAGCATTATTAATGTACAAAATTAAACCTATAACCTTTGTTGCTTTGGAGATAAACCAAGCTAGTAGGATATAATTATAACACTACTATAAAGTGAATATAATAAATCAAAGCTCCAACTACAAGAAAAAAAACAAGACAAGGAACATAAATATCTAAAGCTACACCATGAATAACCACCTATTCCACAGAACACCAAGAACAACCACATATATCAAATAACCCCTATACGAATAATGAACGGAACAAAATAGAGCCGAAAACAATGATATACCAGGGAAAACACGGTAAACCAGAGCTGAACCAAAACAACGACTTACTCGAAGAAATGAAGAATGGGACAGATTAAAGTTATTCTGAATTTTGCAATCATATTTATAATTGTGCTCAATCCTACTAAAAAGATGTAGCGCAAGACAAGTTGGATAACCAGCACTGAGTTGGATAATCTCTCCTTCCTCTGTTTAAGAACTAACACACTTAAGTTCACAATGTCTATTATTAAAATGGGCACAAGTTTACATCTCAAAAACAACCAACAACCTTGTACTTACCTCAACATACACACATGCTCAGAAACTAATCACTAATCAATATTTTCCCTTGATTTCGTCAATGGTGCTTTGAAAAAATTAGATATAAAAACTTACATAGACAACAATATCAAAAGTGGTGATGAAATACCGACTTCTCTCGTTAAGGCCATCCAGTCGTTGTTTTTTCAAAAAACTACGCGGAGTCGAAATGGTGTTTGGAAGAACTTATGAAAATACTCTAATGTAAAGACACGGGAGGGCAAGCTGTAGTGCCGATTATATATGATATTGATCCTTCTAATGTAAGGAACCAGAGGGGAAGCTATGCTGAGGCTTTTTCTAAGCATGAGGGGAAGTCTGACGAATAGAATAAGGTGCAAGAGTGGAGGAACAGTTTGGCAGAATTTGTAAATTTTTCTGGTTGGGATTGTAATGTCAACAGGAAAATTTATATCAACAAACTTCAATATTTTTATTCTATTATTGAAACATTATATCTTTACATATGTTATTTTTGTTATTGTTTTTACAAGACAGAATTGGAATTAGTTGAAGAAATTGCTAAAGATGTTCTAGAAAAGGTGGATCAAGTTTTGTTTTTCATTTTCTCCAATTTGTAACTAGTTTATGTAGTAATTTTCTTAAACTGCTGTCATGATAGTTCTCGGATATCATTTTGACAATTGCGTTTCGCTTAAACTGCTGAACAAAGATGACTGGCAAAATAATCTGCTTCATGACAAGTAACAACTAGTTAGGCATTGTTTGTTACAATGAAGTGCTTATCAATACTTCATTTCATCAGTTCAGTCCTTGACAGGGGTAAATAGAATGAATTTACCAATTCATTTGTTGAACTTTTAAAAACTAATACTAATGGAATGAAATATGAAATTCTCAATTTTCTTCTTCCTTATTTGGAGCTATAGGATAATACAATAACTCTTTAATTTCTCCACATGAGTAATTCTTACATTCACTTCAAAGTTGAAACACAAAATTCCATCCAAAGTTACTACATAAACTAGTTACTCTACATGATATCCCGCAATTTTTACATGCTTAAATTTGACGATTGTTTGAAAGGTGCAAAATTATACTGATAAACTCATTTTCCACCGCGATTTTTACATGCTTAAATTTCCTTTTTAATTCTAACATCTTATAATCTAGTGTGATGACTTATGCAAATTACCTTAAGCTACCTCCTTATTCATCAAAAGTACCTGATCAGTTTTCTAAAACTCAACCATAATATATGCATAAGTAACATATGTTCATGTGTTTTACTATTTGTTGAGTCTTTCAGAAAATTTACAGCACTTTTATTAAATCATTCATTACATTGGAC